TTTAAAGGCTCAGGAACCCGTTGCAGGTGTTATGGCTTAATTAGCTGATTAGAGTGGGACACTTTGAGCCTAGAATATTGCACCTTTTCACAATATTCCAATTTGCTAAGATTGTGGATTTGGGGTTTTCATGAGCTGTAAGCCATAATCATCACAATTATGACAAATCACGGCTTGAACTATCTTGCTTTGCATGTAATGAGTCTATCTCATATATTAGTTTCACCTTTTAAGTTGCATTACCGAAATAAATGAACTTTTGCACGATATTCTTATTTTTTGAGTTTCACCTGTGTATGTATGTATATATATATATATATATATATATATATATATATATATATATATACAGTGGGGCAAAAAGTATTTAGTCAGCCACCAATTGTGCAAGTTCTCCCACTTAAAAAGATGAGAGGCCTGGAATTTGCATCATAGGTAGACCTCAACTATGGCTCTCACAGACCTGTACCTTCTTCTTTAAGAGGCTCCTCTGTCCTGCACTCATTACCTGTATCAATGGCACCTGTTTGAACTTGTTATCAGTATAAAAGACACCTGTCCACAACCTCAAATAGTCACACTCCAAACTCCACTATGGTGAAGACCAAAGAGCTGTCGAAGGACACAAGAAACAAAATTGTAGACCTGCACCAGGCTGGGAAGACTGAATCTGCAATAGGCAAGCAGCTTGGTGTGAACAAATCAACTGTGGTAGCAATAATTAGAAAATGGAAGATCTGGGGCTCCACACAAGATCTCACCCTGTGGGGTCAAAATGATCACAAGAACGGTGAGCAAAAATCCCAGGACCACACGGGGGGACTACCATCAGTAACACACTACGCCGCCAAGGACTCAGATCCTGCAGTGCCAGATGTGTCCCCCTGCTTAAGCCAGTACATGTCCGGGCCCATCTGAAGTTTGCTAGAGAGCATTTGGATGATCCAGAAGAGGATTGGGAGAATGTCATATGGTCAGATGAAACCAAAATAGAACTGTTTGGTAGAAACACATCTCGTGTTTGGAGGAGAGAGAATGCTGAGTTGCATCCAAAGAACACCATACCTACTGTGAAGCATGGGGGTGGCAACATCAGGCTTTGGGGCTGTTTGTCCACAAAGGGACCAGGATGACTGATCCATGTACAGGAAAGAATGAATGGGGCCATGTATCGTGAGATTTTGAGTGCAAATCTCCTTCCATCAGCAAGGGCATTGAAGATGAAACGTGGCTGGGTCTTCCAACATGACAATGATCCCAAACATACCGCCCGTGCAATGAAGGAGTGGCTTCGTAAGAAGCATTTCAAGGTCCTGGAGTGGCCTAGCCAGCAGGGGCGGACTGACCATTTGGAAACTCGGGCACCCCATGGGATGCCCCTGGTAGCTTTTTCATAGGCTTTTTTGAGTTTGGGCAAGGACACAGGGGCCCCATGATCCCCTATTGCCCGGGTGCCTCATGAGTTGCCAGTCCGCCCCTGCTAGCCAGTCTCCAGATCTCAACCCCATAGAAAACCTTTGGAGGGAGTTGAAAGTCCGTGTTGCCCAGCGACAGCCCCAAAACATCACTGCTCTAGAGGGGATCTGCATGGAGAAATGGCCCAACATACCAGCAACAGTGTGTGCCAACCTTGTAAAGACTTACAGGAAACGTTTGACCTCTGCCAACAAAGGATATACAACAAAGTATTGAGATGAACTTTTGATATTGACCAAATACTTATTTTCCACCATAATTTCAAATAAATTCTTTCCAAATCAGCCAATGTGATTGTCTGGATTTGTTTTCTCATTTTGTCTCTCATAGTTGAGGTCTACCTATGATGCCAATTACAGGCCTCTCTCATCTTTTTATGTGGGAGAACTTGCACAATTGGTGGCTGACTAAATACTTTTTTGCCCCACTGTATATATATATCTGAAAGCTGAGCTGTGTGGGAGGTGCTGGCAGGCTTGTTTGTTTCTTTGAGAGCAATAGCTTATGCATTTACTAATACTAGACATGGCGGTAGTGCTCCCTCTTGTGGCATTTGCAGATATACACAGTGCAAATTACTAAAACCAGAAATGATTGCAGCTGAGATCGTAAGTAGCAGCTGGAAAGCATCCCCTATGCTGCACTTCTGGGTCCAGCAACTGCAGTGTTTTTCAAGACATTCCTGGAGTTATCTTGGACATCTGCCACTATTTGTAATTGTTTATATTGCTGGTTCCCTTTCACACTACTAAGACTGGCACATTAGAAAATCAATTACAAGTTTGGGGCTTACAGTGCATGGGATGTGTACAATTACAATTGCACTTTGAGCTTTTAATGTGTGAACATTGTTGAACTACAGATCTAGCACACAGTCATCTGTTGCTGGCACAAGACATTATCTGTATACTGGTGCATTTCCTGGTGTATTCACGGCTTTTAAATATTTGAAAAAAAAAGTTGTTTTGTTAACGCAGTCACATGACTGGTTTGATACAGTCTACCTGCGAGTGGGAGGGGCTTGGGTTTAATCACGTACCTTCCTGAAAGGTTTTTTAAAGATTGACTATGTATTAGTAAGGTTTGGCTCTGAAGAATTAGGTACCTACCCTCGAAACACACGAGACATTGGAAGTGTCTTCCCTATGCTGGGATTTGCACAGTGAACCAGAGTGTGAGGGTCACTGTGGATACTGATGAGCTTGATACGTGCCGTATGTGATTACACATCTGATTTATTTCTTTAATAAAAAGAGTTTTTTTAAGGTAATGCAAAAGGCTGGTGCACCCTCTGTTTTTGTTTTTCTAGTGTTTTGGGGGGTTTCCTCAGTTCTCAGGGGGCTGAAAAGTCTTGCCTAGCTTCAAGCTGTCGGAAATCCTCCATCGCCAGAATATCCACCTCGAGCGCAGGAGGTTGTTTCTTTTGATTGTATGTCATTTCTACTGTGTTTTTACTGTCCCAGCTGTTCTCCCATTTGCTGCAAAGACAGGAGAGGGGGAAATTCATATGCTGTGGCCATGATGCTTTACAGCATGGCAAAAATTATCCCTGCAGTTGCATTTAGCGGGTATTGCCGCCCGCTGAACACAAAGTATTCACCTGAATAAGGGCACCCTGCAACCACATGCAATGCACTCAGTTGTGGTTAACTTAAGGGGTTAAAGCAGAAGTGATTAGTAAGAACATGTATATACACAAGGGAATGTCTTTATAAAACAGTTTTACCCAAGATTCACACTTGTTTCCAATTAGATTCAATTGGAAATTGTGTGAATCCTAGGTTAGAGTTGTACAAATCTCGGGTAAAAACATTTATGAATAGACCCCAAGACTTTAGTGGTCAAAATAACATGTCCCAAAACTTTTGGTAAGAAGCACCTGCTTTTCCAATCTGCACTGCAAGACGGGTCAGCTTCCCCTGCAAAACAGACTTTTCCTTCTTCGGGATTTTGGCAATTTTCTTCTCTTTTTCCTCACTTTTTCTCCACCATCCTCACATTTTAAAGGTTGTATTTCCAAGGCCACACCATCTTGTGTTTTAGCTTAAAATATGAAAAAAACAAACATATGACAGAGTGAAACACAATAAAATGCTTACAGAATAGAACAAAGAGATAGAATATCTCCAGATAATAGTGCTCTGAATACAGTGCTTCGAAAGGAGAGACCAGAGACAACATGACAAGACAGAAAATTAAAAAGTGTTAGCGTTAGGAATAAATAACGATATGAAAAAAAGAGGGCATATGGAATGGAAGATTAAGTATATTATCATATTTAAAGAGTATGTAACCTTTAAAGGATAAGTTCACTTTTTTCCTCCAAATTCCAGCTCCCCTATGTACCAATATAGCATTAATGTACTTCTTTTGCAGAAGAAGACTGTACAAAAGGCTTTCACCAGAAGGCTGTACAAAAAAGCTTGCACATTACTTCTGCCTTATTTTCTGCACAGAGTTTAGGTCATGACATGGGAAGGAGTTGACCAGCTGACCTCATTAGCACACACCCTGCATCATCTACCCTCCTACCTACCACCCAGTTGGTGAATTCCTTCCTGTGTCATGACCCAAAGTCTCTGCAGGAAATAAGGCAGAAGTAATGGAAAAGCTTTTTTGTACAGCCATCTGGACATGAAGGTGTGTAGAAAAAATGGAAATCTTTTGAATTTCTGCAAAAGAAGTACATTAATGCTATATTGGTACATCAGGGAGCTGGAATTTAGAAAAAAAAAAAAAAAAGGCGAACTTATCCTTTAACAATGAACCTCTGTTACTTGCTTCTTTTTTGGGAAAAAAACACACGTTGATCCTGCAATAAACCTGAGCTGATAACGTTCTGAGTGCTCTGTTCGTCTGCTGCACTCTTATTAACTGGCATTGCTCCCAGTTATATGTACTACCCCCTACCCACTTCTTAGGCTAAGTTCACACTTCTGTGGCTGCGGAACATGTGTGAAATCGCATGCATTCCCGACCCACAGAGAAATGCACTGCACTTCAGCAGATGCATGGGGGTGCCATTAATCCTCAACCACTTGCCTACCGGGCACTTGTACCCTCTTCCTGCCCAGGCCAATTTTCAGCTTTATGCGCTGTCGCACTTTGAATGACAATTGCACGGTCATGTAACACTGTACCCATATGAAATTTATATAATTTTTTTCACACAAATAGCGCTTTATTTTGGTGGTATTTAATCGCCGCTGGGTGTTTTCTTTGTTTTTATTATAAAATTTTGCAAACATGTAATTTTTCTCCTTCATTGATGTGCATTGATGAGGCGACACTGCTGGGCACTGATGAGGTGGCACGGATAGGTAGTACTGATGGGCGCTGATGAGGTGGCACGGATAGGCAGCACTGATGAGCTAGCACTGATGGGTGGCACTAACATCACTGCTGGGCACTGACTGGCAGCACTGCTGGGCACTGATGGGTGGCACTGCTGGGCGGCACTGATGGGCACAGGTGGGTGGCACTGATCATCAGGGCACTGACGATCAGTGCCGATCTCTTCTCTGACAATTGCCGGTTATCAGCAGTACTTTCCTCATGCTGTGACAGTGTGAGGAAAGTGCAGCCGATAACCGGCAACTGTTTTTACCAGGTGATGTGCTGTGTCATTGGACACAGCTAATCACGTGGTAAAAGGTCGCTGTGATTGGCCTTTTAGCACATCACGTGATCAGCTGTGTCCGTAGGACACCGCAATCACCGGCGGTGTGTGTTCTGGACACCCTTCCAGAACTAGACAACCGCACTGTAGCCGTCTTTCAACTATAGCAGGGTTGGGAAGAGGTTAAATGGCACCCCCACACATCGGCACCTACAGCACATTTTCACGCGTACTAAACCACATGATGCCGTAGTAACAAGCAGCTTGATGCGGTGCGATTAAAAAAAAAAAAAAAAAAAGAGGGTTGGAACTTATTTCCCTGCATTTCTCACTGGGTAGGGCAGCCCTTTAAAATAAATTTGAATCGAGCCACATATCACAATCCTGTTCTTACATCAGCATCCTCACTTCCCTGTTCACATCACAGTCACTCCTTCACATTACTGTCCTCAGCCCACCCTTAAAGTACAGGTGATGGGCTTCCAGTTCCGGCACTGCCTGGGAATGCTGTGATCCCGGTAAGCCTCTTATACACCACTCTGTAAAGCATGGCTGGATCTAGGGGGGAGCGGTGCCCCCCACCAGCTTTCAGTTGTGCCCCACCAAAGCAAACAGCCCCCCCTCCTGCCTCCACCCCAGGGCACTGTGCCCAGCTGCTAACTACTTCTTCCAGGAACATGACAAGGAAGGTGCACTGCATAGAGGCAGAGTCCCATTGAGAGATCCAGCAGCTCTCATCTCCTTGTAAAAGAAGACTCAGAATACAGTGTGGAATTAAAGGAAATCTTCTCCCCTGATCACAGAAATTTCTCTGCACACAGCCTGATTTACTGCCAGGCTGATCGTGTATTTCTGCCTCCACTCTCTATTGAACGATGGCTGTACATTGACAGTAAATAAAGCTAAGCTGGAATGTCTGCATGCCTGCTTGCAGACCTGTCAGTATAGAGTGGAGGTACACAATCAGCTGGGCAGTAAATAAGGCTGAAGGTTCTGTTGAGAAAGTTTACTTTTCTTTAACTCTTTACTTCTATGCAATTGATTGTTTGGCTACTTTTAGGCAAGCCATACATTATGCAATTTTATTTCCTTCAACCCCAAGTCGACAGTAACATACAAAAAAAAAAAAAACAGACAGGGTGGTTATGCTGATGTCGATTAATAGATCAATCAGTCTGCCCATACATGGATCAAAATTTGGCTATTTCTGGCTGAGCCTGCCATATTTTGATCTGTCTATGGCAAGCTTTAGATGTACCCCCCCTTCATTTTATCTTTCATTCTTGCTGCCTATAATTCAAGAGGGGTTCTTAGGACCCTGATGTAATGGGGGGGAATCTGGGGACCTAATGTAACTAGGGAAACTCTAGGGGCTCCCTGTAAGTGACTCTAGAGACCCTGTTAGGGTGGCTCTGGGGACCCTGAGGTAAGGCTGACGAACCCCAGGGAACCTTATGTTAGGAGGGGGGGTTGACTCTGGGGACCCTGATGTAAGGGGGATCACTCTGGGGAAGATTACTCTGAGGACCCTGATTTGAGGGATTTCTCTGGGGACCCTGACACAAGGGGGAGAGGGTGGGTGACTCTAGGGACCTTGATGTTAGGGGTGACTCTAGGTGTAGCAATCTTGCGCTCAGAGATGGACGCAGTGCCACCATTTTGTCAAGGCACATCCATTTTTTGATAAGAGCATACATTTCTCCCTCAATCCTTTATTCTCCTTCCCCCTCCCTTCCTGAGAGGCACAGTGACAGATGTGTGTGTGTTAAAAGTCACTGGCCAGTAGAGCCGCAGGGGGCCTAAAACTACAAAGCCCCCCCATGGAGGCAGAGCCTGGCCGTCCAAGTCCCATGTCAACTCGCACCTCCTAACCAAGATAAGGCAGCTGTTCCCAGGACTTGAAAGAAATTGGAACCTCCTAAACCCTACCAGCCAGGTGACAGAATTTAACCACTTGCCTACCAGGCACTTATACCCCCCTTCCTTACCAGGCCAATTTTCAGCTTTCAGCGCTGCTGCACTTTGATTGACAATTGCGCGGTCATGCAACATTGTACCCATATGAAATTTTGATCATTTTTTTCTCACAAATAGAGCTTTCTTTTGGTGGTATTTAACCGCCACTGGGCACTTTACTTTTTGCGCTATAAGTTAAAAAAGTGCAAAAAATTTGAAAAAAAAAAAAAAAAAGTTTCTTTGTTTCTATTATAAAATTTTTCAAACAGGTATTTTTTCTCCTTCACTGATGTGCGTTGATGAGGCAGCACTGATGGGCACTGATAGGCGGCACTGATGGGCACTGATAGGCAGCACTAAAGGGCACTGATAGGCAGTACTAATGAGGTGGCACGGATAGGCGGCACTGATAGGCAGCACTAATGAGGTGTCACGGATAGGCGGCACTAATATGCAGCTCTGATAGGTGACACTGATCATGGGTACTGATAGATGGCACTGACTGGCGGCACTGACTGGCACAACCGCTGGGCACTGACTGGTGGCACTGACTGGCAGCACTGCTGGGCTGCACTGGTTGGTGGCACTGGTGGTGGTGGGCACAGGTGGGTGGCACTGGTGGGCACAGGTGGGTGGCACTGGTGGGCACAGGTGGGTGGCACTGGTGGGCACAGGTGGGTGGGCACAGGTGGGTGGCACTGCTGGGCACAGGTGTGTGACACTGCAGAGTGGCACAGGTGGGTGCACTGCTGGGCACAGGTGGGTGCACTGCTGGGCACAGGTGGGCGGAGCTAGTGGGCGCACTGCTGGGCACAGGTGGGCGGAACTTGTGGGTGGCACTGCTGGGCACCGATCATCAGGGCACTGATCATCAGTGGCCCTGATGATCGGTGCCGATCCTCGCTCTGACAACTGCCGGTTCTCGGCAGTACTTTCCTCACGATCTGACAGCGTGAGGAAAGTGCAGCCGAGAACCGGCACTTGCATTTCCCTGTGATCAGCGTGTCATTGGACACCGCTGATCACGTGGTAAAAGGCCGGTATGATCGGCCTTTTACCACATCTAGGTAGGTAGGACACAGCGATCACGGAGATCGCCGGGTGCGTGGCCCCTGGGGCGCGCAGGAGAGCGCGTTTTGGGGGGACGTCATATGATGTCCACTCAGAACTGGCCGGCCGCAGTTTAGCCGTCATTCGGCTATCTGCGGTCGGCAACTGGTTAAATGAACATTCCTCAGGTCAGCTGTCACCTATGTTTCATATCATGGATTATGAAGCTGTCAGTTTTAATGCAGAGTCCATCCGACGATCCCGCCCAAAACAGGGTATTGGCCAGTTACTCAGAGCCACCCCCCCTGCTGGGCGACTTTAAAAGACAGGCTTGGAAAGCCCAAAAAGAAAGCATCTCCCAATTTTAACATCAATATACCACCCGGGAGATCAAAGACCCTTTCGCTCTGTAACTTGGATCTGCTACCTCAAGGCTTAACATGGCAAGTAACTTAACCTTTTAACTTCTCCGTTATCTCTTTGCTGTGCTGTTTTCTATGCATATATATCTTAGTTACATCTTTTTTTCTGTAAATATTTTATTGCACCTGTTTGACTCTTTTAGTAATAAATCTTTCTTTCTGAAAGTGTTAAACTGTTTCTAAAGCACTTAATTGCAATTTACGAATTCCTGCCTTTTGAAGAGACGCTACTGTGTTTGTTTAATCCTCTGCCCAATCGGCCTGCGGTGACCGTATTGGACAGGCGACTTTTCAACCATTACAGTGTATATTTTATAAAGAGAGTTTCCCCTTTCTCTGTACAAAAAGGGGTGGTGGCAGGGTGAAGGGTTAGTTGCGTAATTAACCAGACCCAGTAACAATCGCTCAGACTGACGGCACATCGATCGGTTGACCATCAGCTGGAAAATCGTTGTGCAGGGTGCAGCTGTGGTATTGTTACGCACGTCACACCGCGGTTTTAGATCGGCCAGTCCTTCGGTCACAAGTTTGGTGAGAAGGTCTGGGGTCTGATGCCGCGATCGTGACACTAGGGACCCTGATATTAGGGGGTTCTGAGGACCCTTAGGTAAGGCTGAGGAACCCCATGGACCCTGATGTTAGGGGGGATTACTCTGGGGACCATGATGTAAGGGGAATTACTCTGGGGACCCTGATGTGTGGGGAATTACTCTGGGAACCCTGATGTGTAGGGGGATTACTCTGGGGACCATGATGTAAGGGGAATTACTCTGAGGACAGTGATGTAAGGGGGGATTACTCTAGGGACCCTGATGTAAGAGGGGATTACTTTGGGGACCCTGATGTAAGGGGGATTACTCTGGGGACCCTGATGTAAGCTGTGGGAGAAGGGGGGCTCTAGGGACCCTGAGGTAAGGCTGAGGAACCCCAGGGACCCTAATGTTAGGTGGGTGACTCTGGGGACCCTGATGTAAGGGGGATTACTCTGGGAACCCTGATGTAAGGGGATCACTCTGGGGACCCTGAGGTTGGGGGGGGGTGACTCTTGGGATCTTGGGGGGGGGGAGGGATTCTAATGTTGATTCTTGATGTAAGGGGGGGAATCTGATGTGAACAGGTGGGCTCAACCTGATGGTGTGCTCTATACATTGTTTTGTATGTTACTTCTTGCATTCTATACATTATGTTTAACATTTATAACAAAACAAGCCCCTACCACTTTTAGACAAAAAGTTCTAAAAGCTCTGTGTCATCTACTGACGCCTGAACTCTGCATCACTTACACCTGACCCCTGAACTCTGCCTCACTTACTACTGACCCATAAACTCTCCCCTACAAACTGCTGACCCTATCCTTTGCTCTGCTAACCCCCTGTACACTGCCCTGCTGACCTCTCATCCAGCCCTGCTGTAAAGCCATGCTCGAGCCCTGCCTATTACCCTGCTCTACACTGACAACGCTGTGTTCTCCATGAATTACTTTGTAGCGTGATCAGCACCCCGCTCTGGATCCACATCTTGCCGGCCTTCTGACAGGGAGACAAGTGCTGCAGCCAAGATGGCTCGGTCTCATCCAAAGCTGATGCAGGAGACATTGCTGATCACTCCCCCTCCCCTCTACCACAAAACTTGGACAGTGATTCCTCTCCAGCTAGGATAGCACAGGCAGTGGTGGAGATACTGGCCACTGAGAATCACAGAGGCAGTGGACAAGGTTGTGATGCAGAGCATGCACAACTCCATGCTGCTTTGCAGGAACAAACCAACTGTGTACAGCAGGAAGAGCAGAGGATGTTTGTGTTAGAAGATGATGTCCATCAGGCAAACTGTGTTATTAATCAGCATTCCTCCTCTCATCAGCTAATGTTAGACAAACTGGAGGACTTTCAAAACCACTCACTTTTGGGATAACTTTTTTAACCAGTTGCCACCAGGTGAACAGCTCATCCCTCTGGGTGGACGCCATATGGTGTCCTCTCCGGAATGCGCAGTGCGCATGCTCGCAGGGCCGCTATCTGTCACTAGCCGTGTACCTTGGACATGCCGATGACAGATCTGTGTACCAGCCTCGTTGCCAGTACCATGTGACCTGCTGTGACCAATCACAGCAGGACACATGACGGTTGTATACAATGGATGGCTTCCTTTCATGCCATCCATTGTATACAAGTGTGTCTAGCTGTGAATGGTCACAGCGATCACATGCACAATCTGGGCCAATCACAGCCCAGCTGTGTCATGTGATTAGCCATGGCCAAATCATTGCTAATCACAAAAAAAAAAAACCCTGAATTAATTAATTAAATTCAGGTAAATGCTTGCTTATAGCAAAGTAATTGTGTAAAAAAAAAAAATACTGATCACTTCCCCAAAGTAGTACAATGTTACTATGGTAACATTATACTACTTTGGTCATAGTGAAATATGAAAAAAATTCTGAAAGAGAAAAATTTATAAAAATTTAAAAATAATGAAAAAATGAAAAAAAAAAAAGTTATAATTTTTTTTTTGTACTGTCACCAGTGTCCCTGATCCTCACCATGCCAGTTATATGACGACGCTGTACTGCACTGGTGACAGCATGTAAAAAAAAAAAAAAAAAAAAAAAAAATAGTGAAAATCATTTTTTTAATTTCTTAATTTTCTGAAAAATTACAAAAAAATGACAACTTCAAAAAACTCGCCATGCCTGTTATGAAATATGTTGGACTGTCTACTTTGCAAAAAGGGGTCATTTGGGGGATATCTATACTGTTCTGAAATTCTTGGACCTCAAGAAATTAGATTGGCTGTCAGTACTTCAGGATTGATCAATTTTCAAATATATCCCATAGTTTGTGAACTCTATAACTTTCCTACAGACTAAATAATAAATACTAATTTGGGTTATTTCCACCAAAGAAATGTAGCAGAATACATCTTGGCCTACATTTTTTTTTTTTTTTATATTAACAATTTTTATTGGTTTTCAAGTAAATCAAGTGTTACAGAAAACAAAGAAAAAATAAAACAAGCAAAACAGAGATGTACATCGATGGCTAATATTACATTTGGTCAAGACCAGTGGAGTCATATAGTAACAGTGCGAGAAAAATCAGGGTCTTACAATTTGGGCTGGCATAGAGGAAGAGAAGGTATCCCACGGGAGCCAAATCATCTCAAATACATCAAACGAACCACTATGTGAAGCAGTCAAACACTCCATCTGTCTTACATCGGTAATAAGTTTATACAAAGTTGGCAATGAAGGTGGGGTAGAGGATAACCAACACATAGGAATACTTCTCCTGGCTGCGGTTAGCACAAGTTTTGTGGCTAGTTTAGATAGCCCCGGGAAGGGCAAGCCCAGCAAAAATTGCAGTGGGTCAAATGGGAGAGAAACTTGCAACAATGATTGCAACAAGGAGCGGACCTCTTCCCAAAAAGAAGCAATGGAGCTGCAGGTCCAAAAAATATGATAAAGAGAGCCAGAAGCTCTACTACAGCGCCAGCAGGCAGGAGAAGCACTCGGATTATAAACATGAAGAACTTCCGGTGTTTTAGCCTTACATTTCTGCCAAACAGTCAATGAAAAAAGCATGGGGCCTAGGAATAAGTGGCGAAAAGAAAGGACATCCACCGCCGAGGTCGACCAGAGAAGGGAACACAGATGTACTGGGGATAATTGTAAAGACTCGATCTCAGTCCATGTATTGGGAGGGTAATGAACGGACCATGACATAAGAAAGCGAAGGTGGGTTGCAAAATAGTATGTTATTATATCCGGTGCTCCCAAGCCTCCCCTAGAATGTGGGGAAAAGCAGAACAGAACGAGCAATCCTGTGCCGCCTGTTGTGCCAAATAAAATGTAGGAAAGATTTCTGAAGGGAGTGAAGCTTGGACATAGGAACGGTTACGGGGAGGGTTGCAAACAGATATAAAAGTTTGGGTAGCACGGTCATTTTTAAGACATTAATACGACCGAGAAAAGAGAGAGGCAAGGCATCCCAGTGTTTCAGGGAGCGAGAAATTGCTATAAACAGTGGGGGGAAATTGGCCTCGTATATGGATTGGTAAGAGGAAGTAAGGTTGGTGCCTAAATATTTTAAAGAGTGGGTGCACCACCGGTAGGGAAAGGCTGCCTGAAGGGAGAAAGAACAACAGGAGAAACATGTATTGGAAGTGCCTCAGTTTTGGACGTGTTGACCTTATAGCCTGATAAAGCCCCAAATTGTTTCAAAATTTTGTGCAAAATCGGTAAAGAGGTATGTGGACTCGTAAGTGTGAGGAGGATGTCATCTGCAAATAATGATAATTTGTACTCATGAGAATGTGATTGTATCCCCTGGATATCCGGATTCGACCTGATGGCAACAGCCAATGGCTCCAGACAGAGAATGAACAGCAGGGGAGAGAGTGGACAGCCCTGACGAGTGCCATTTGACATCTGAAAGGGGGGTGAGAGAAAGGAAGCTAATCTGACCTGTGAGAAAGGGGATGAATAAAGGGCCTTCAAAGCTGCTACAAATGAACCCCTAAAACCAAATCTCTCCAAAACCATGAACATGTAAGGCCAGC